ATATATATATATATATATATATATATATATATATATATATATATATATATATATATATATATATATATATATATATATATATATATGAAAAAAATGAAGAATGTGTGTTAGAGATGGAAAATTGTTATTCATATTGTAAATATATTGTAAATGATTATATTATTATAAATACAGATATATTATCCTGAATTTTTATGAAAAATAACATATTAAATTTTGTATCATCAAAAATTAATTATTTTTAGTTCAATAATTAATATTTAAAATTTAAAGGCATACTAGTTGACCAAATCAGATAGTTGTCTTATTTTTATTCTTTTACATAAAATATGTGATACATGATTGGATTAGGTGTCAGATACAACATTTGGTTGCTAAACAATACTCTCTCTCTCTCTCTCTCTCTCTATCCCATAGCTGGTAGCTAAATAATAACTTTGTGATTTTTACGATATTGCAACTAATTAATAATTTATTAATATCGCATTTTAAATGTTAAATCACTAGAACAGCTTGTTAGATCTATATGATTGCATACTCATGGCTTGATCGACCACCTAATCGCCAAACTATAATAATATATGAGCTTGATATAATATATGTCACATCATACATGCAATTTAATGTGGTTAGTGATAAGTATGAAGACAACAGCACCTATTTATCCCTCATTTGACCGTTCGGTGTGTTACACCAACTACCATTCATCTGAGGGACGGCCTCAAAGCGGCATGGCTCGATGAGTCCTAAGTCTCTTGCGCTCGATCACGTGTCAAAGTTAGATGAAGACCACGTGCATGCCAACTAATCATACAGCACACACAGAGAGAGAGAGAGTACATGGCATCACTATATATAGGCAGTCTGCACTGCATGCTACGTGGAAGATAAGAAGAAGAAGAAGACAGTATAAGAAAAGATGGCGGTGAAGGTGTATGGAAAGCCACAGGCAGTGTGCCCGCAGAGAGTGATGCATTGCCTGGTGGAGAAGGGCGTCCCCTTCGAGTTCGTCCTCGTCGACATCGACGCCATGGAGCAGAAGCGGCCTGAGTACATGGAGAAACATGTGTTCCTTAATCCTCTAACTCTCTTTGCGTTAGTCATCGAGTTTGTATTGCGATCACGCTTAAGTTTAAGCTTGTTTCTTGTGGCAGCCGTTCGGCCAAGTTCCCTTCATTGCTGATGGCGACTTCGAGCTCTTCGGTAAACGCATTTAGCTTCTGCCTCATGGGTTGGTTTACGTGGATTATTCTTCTTGCTCATGGAGCTACGCCGTTGTTTTCGATCGAGCTCCTCAGAGTCTCGGGCCATCGTGCGGTACTTTGCGGCCAAGTACGCGGACCGCGGGCCCAACCTTCTCGGCCGGACGGCGGAGGAGCGAGCCAAGGTGGAGCAGTGGCTGGACGTGGAGGCCATCAGCTACAGCCCCTGCGCGTTCACAATCGTGTTCAACCTTTTCCTGTTGCCCATCCGCGGCCTCCCGGGGAACAAAGGCGAGGCCGTGGCCGCCATGGAGAAGCTCGACAAGGTCCTCGAGGTGTACGAGAAGCAGCTGTCGCGGACCAAGTACTTGGCCGGGGACGAGTTCACGCTGGCCGACCTGACCCACATCCCCGTGACGCGCTACATCGTGGAGCACTGCGGCCTGGCGTACCTCCTCGATGACAAGCCGCATGCCAAGGCGTGGTGGGAAGACGTCAGCCGCCGGCCGGCGTGGAAGAAGGTGATGAGCTTTGTGGCGTCCGGGGCGTCATTCTACTCCCCCTAGAGTTGCTGTGCCACTGCACATCATGTGTTCGATGAAAGGTCGGGGACTTATAATGCGTCATCGGTTTTGATGTAGTAGGCAGGTGTTGTGACATTTCCTTCCTGAACGTCAATAATAAAAATCTGTATGCCGATCACGCGAGCATTGTATCTTTGTTCGAGAAAGGTAAGTTGAGTCTGTACTTGATGTCATGCCAAGACACGTATTGAGATGAAAGCGAGTGAATTAGGTATCTTCTATGGAGAATATGCTGCATAGATTTTGCACTGTGGAGTTGTCGTTTTGTCCTTCCTCGCACTCAGGAATAGGAGTTAGCATCTGCTATAAACGAACAAAATTAAATATGATTTACATATTTTTATTAGTTGATTGTAAATTATAATTAATATATAGATTCTTAAACTACAACTTATATTAATAATCTTGAATAATATCTTTCCAATGTCTGTTGTCTCTTGATGCAAGTATCTAATCCCAAGTTCTCATCAAATAAGATATGAACGACATCTACCGCTAATAATGTATCGATGGCTCCACATTGAGAAGACTCCACTGAGGAAGCTTTGTGCCGCTCGCTCCCTTGTGGACCACAGATAGATAGATGCATGGAGGGATAACCTTAGCATGATGAAGCAAATGACTAAAAGGAATCGATCTAAACAAAGATAAAAGGATAATGACACATCCCCAAACAACAGTGACATAAGGTTTCCGAAGCACCATAGATCTCTCGAGGACATGGACGATGTTCCTTTTTGTGTGCTGTGACTGCCTACTGCTGAGAGGTGCAATAACGAGGGTAAACCCTCTCGCTCCCCACCAATCTTTCATACTCGGGCATGTGGAGGTGTGCCGGGACTGTTCCTGTGGGCGCCTTCCATGCATATAGCATTTTTGTCAACTACCGGATCAGCAGGAGCTCGCCAAGATTTAATGGAATGCCAGAGTCTGCACCGGACACTGTTGGGCGGTGCAGTAAGCTTATCACTGGCTGCTCCTTACCTATGACTGCTGACACTGTTCCAGCGTCGCAGCTCTTGCTCGTGTAACATGAGGCCAAAGCCAACCTACCCCAGTATCAAATAAGAGGAAGAAGAGAAGAACACCATAAATGAGAGACGTAGTTGTTGGGGCGGTGAGGAATCCGGAGGAAGTCGATGATGATGACCTCCCAAGAATAGACGTTGTACACCTCCTACGTGTGATCATCGTCTCTCACAGCTTTCTTCCTTCGGTGTGGGAGTGGAGCTACTAGGCGTGAATTCAAGGCCACCTTCCTTATCGATCCAGCTTCTGAGCACTTGCCCTCCATCTCTGCTTGTTTCCTGGCATCACTGTTGGTCCTGATTGGACCACCTTTGCCATCTTCGGTCGCCAATAACCACTACCGCCAAACCTACTGTGCGGAAGGACGATCTGCAACAGTATCAGTGACAATAGTAATAACTAACCGACGTTGCAAGTGTTCCTGCAGGAAGTCTTCAGCCTAAGATTAACTATTCAGAGAGGGTAACTCGGGGATTTATAGTGGAAGATCACCCTTCTCCAACGAGTCATTGGACGGCGAGGGGCTTCTAGGAAGAAGAGAAGGAGCCACATATGATGGAGGACCAAACGCAAGCGAAGTCAACGGCAGTCGCTAAGAGAAGGGTGTCATCGTCGTCGTCGTCGTCGTCGTCGCCATCATCACGGTTCAAAAGAGTCTGCGTGTTCTGCGGTAGCAGCACAGGGAAGAAGAAAGGCTATCAGCTCGCAGCTATCCAACTAGGAAAAGAATTGGTCGTTTAAGAACCACAGCATGGGTTTGTTGCCATTGCTGCCTGATAGAGATTTCGTTGTAAGCCTTTTTTTCTTGTTTCAGGTGGAGAGGAACATAGACTTGGTGTACGGCGGAGGGAGCGTTGGGCTCATGGGTCTCGTCTCGCAAGCTGTTTTTGACGGCGGCCGCCATGTCTTAGGGTCATTCTCTTAGTCTCTGCTCTGTCTCGGCCGCTGCCCTGCATGCACAAACTTACATGCACACACACGCACGCAAAAAATGTTTTGTGTTTTGATAACGATCCCCAGAATCTTCATGATTTCGGTGCTACGATGCAGGATAATTCCAAGGACGCTCATGCCCAAAGAGGTAAACCAGTTTCTTCCTTCTCTTCTCGGTTCCCTCTCTGAATTAGAGGTTGGCGTCGCGTTCAGTGACAATGGTTTACTGTAGCGGCATCCGACTTAACGTGGGTGGTTTTGGCCAATGTTAGATAACCGGAGAGACCATAGGGGAAGTGCAGCCCGTCGCCGGAATGCACCAGAGGAAAGCCGAGATGGCACGTCAGGCTGATGCCTTTGTTGCTCTTCCCGGTACGCGACATATCCTGCCACTCCCATCTAGAACACAAAATTTTCTTATGGATATCTATATATATTTAGAGAGAGAGAGAGAGAGAGAGAGTTTTGCTCAAGGACCCTTCTTGAGATCCATCAGCTCATCATTTGCTTGTGATCTGCACCCCTCAAAATTCAGCTAGCACATACATGTGCGCTTGTTTGGTTGTGCCGTCCGAGTAATGCACTTTCCTGTGGTGTTAAACTTGCCAAGTAGCAGCACGAAGCTCGAAAACTAAGCGGTTTGACTTGTACGTTGGCCGAGTTGAAAGAGTAGTGAGTCAACCTACTAGCCTTCAATTAAGCCACAAAAAATGTCGGTCCCTATTAACTATTATCATTAGCGATAATAGTCATGCAGTAGGTCTGAAACATGATTACTTTGAACGTCACTATTAACTTGTTTAGCTACTTGGGAGAGCAGGAGGGTACGGAACCCTAGAAGAACTGCTCGAGGTGATAACTTGGGCTCAGCTGGGAATCCATGACAAGCCGGTATCTGTCGATCTGAACACTTCTTTTATGAATATGTTTCTGAACACTTGTCCTTTTTACTCTCATGATTTTTCTTACTGTATCTTCTACTACCACAGAGGTGTACCAATAATGTCGATGCAACAGTTTTAGAATTGATGCAATGTACCCTTCTACAACAGTTATATGAATCTCTGTGTGTGTGTTGTGTTCTGTGACATGAGCAGGTGGGTCTTCTGAACGTCGAAGGGTACTACAACACACTGCTATCTTTCATCGACAAGGCTGTGGACGAGGGCTTCATCTCTCCTGATGCTCGCCATATTATTATCTCGGCACAGACAGCTCATGAGTTACTGTCCAAGCTTGAGGTACGTATACCCATTCATCGCGTGTGTATCTGCTAAAGCAACTCATGGTTGAGATCGTAAGCAGCTTTTACTCTTTCGGTAGAAAACAATTCAAACAACGTAAAAACAAAAGCAGAAAACACATCAAATACATTTAATCTGAAGTGTGCTTTCTATGTATTCTATGCTCTCTCTTGTGCAAACTTTTGGCAGCAGGTAGTAAAGGTATCTCTTGCATGCAGGAGTATGAACCCAGGCATGAGAGAGTTGCATCCAAACTGAGGTGGGAGATGGAGAAGTTGGGTCACCCCCCCAAGTCGTACATCGCGCGCTAGTAGAACACCACCACCTTGTATGAGTAATTATAATTGCCCAGTGATGCAACCATTGTAATCTTTACTTCAACTTTCGGAGTGTGTCAGTAACCTTTGTTCTAGTCTTTGCTAACTTTTACCAAGTATCTAGTCAACCTTGGGCCATTAATGTCTTTCTCCCCGTATGAATCCTAACTTAACATCTATGTCTCCAATCATCTGAGAGGAGTCTTCCAGGAAAACCACAGTGCTTGAAATAATATTGTCGAAGACATTCGACGCAAGTGGAGTGGAGCAATAACACAAAAGATGAGCATTGTCCACTGAGAGGACAACAAAATGGGTTTGTAGTCACAATAGTAGCCACTCGAATACAAGTGTTTTCTGCTCGTTTCATCCTTCACATGCTTCCGCACGTTCCTTGGACTGGCGATGACGCAGAAGCCAGTCCTTGTATCACTATGTATGAAATGTTCTATCAGCCAGCCGGCTTCCTGTCCTCCTTTGCACTTCCAGTTAGACATCAGCTACAACTGTACTCCACAAAGCAATCGTGTGGTGGAGGAGGAAAGAAAAGATGCGGAAATCGGTTCAACTCTTGCATCGATGGGACCTTGTTGGTCCTGAGAAGAAGATGTGCTCCTGTAGAAGCAGCGGGCACAAGGTAGAGAGACAACCCAGTTTAGATCAACCTGCAGCACTCGGTTGGTGTTTTCTGATTAGGCATACGCAAAAAGGTGTTTCCCGTGGTGATTGGGAAGCGGAGGTTCCCTTATCTTGGAGAACCTTCCCTTGTTTGCATTGAACTCCAAGCCACTGCTCACCATGAGCCCCACATCTGTGCTGCTGCGATGCTGTCCAAAGCATGGCCACTCTAACCCTCTTTAAAGCTCTACACACAACCTGAGCAGCAGCACACATCACTGTCTGTATGCATGTCTATGTCAACTTTACAATCATAGCGTCCGATCCTGAAGGAAGTAGCAAAACACGCTGACACCTATAGCTAAGTTTGTAAACGATTGTCATGGTTTGATTGGATTTGGTTCGATCTATATGGCATGCAGTCAGATTGGATTCTATCAGGTTCCTACGACGTCATCAAAGGTAATGTTACTATCTCCTTTGAGAGGCTTTGGCCCATATAATTTTGGGCTCATTTCATGACAAAAGCTCCTCTTACAGAAGAGCGAGAGAGAGAGAGAGCAGACTAAGTGGAGACAAGCTTTTCAATCTGTCTATGAAACATGAACAGTGAATCCAGAAGAGAAAGCATAGTTCATTGTACTTTGAGAGGTTGGCTGCCGCAGGACATGGTCAAGAAGCAAAATCAAGACAAAGCACTATCTTTGAGGATTAACTCCACTCGAGCATAATGGAGAACATAGTCACTAGCCCCTCATCACAAGCTTCTTTCCTTGAAGCAGCACATGGATGCTTTGACTACTCCAGACGACAGCCTTGGATATGCCAACTGCTAGAGCTCAGATTCCATCTGTGAGGTCACATCAAACAGCACTAGAGAGAGAGAGAGAGAGAGAGAGAGGTAGGGGAAAGAAA